CTACCCCGTTACTCAGTGAAACATGACAATTTAATTATCCCAAGGATAGGATACTCGATCAATGAATTGATGTTTCATTTAAAAGTTATGTGAGTGAGTGCCCCTAAGGCAAGTCTAGGTAATTTAAGATTGTGGTGCCCACAATAAAGGTCAGGCTTTTAGTGTTTAAAGGTGTTAATCACCAATCATATCATCTCCTAAATCCAATCAATTGAGTTTAGAAATCAAGACTAGGTCACTACTAAGCCTTTAACAATCATGATGGGTGAAATGATGATTATCAATATTTTGATTAAAGTAACATATATCCACATCAAATGGTCAAACCATCCTCAACTTTGGGCTTAGGAAAAGTAAACTATCATCTTTCTGACTTAAGCCCATCGCTTAAGAATCATTTGATCTTTAATTAACTTCCAAGTCATGAAGGTTAGGAGAATTATGATCTTGTTGATATTGTGCACGGGAGTTGAGTGAGTTTCTACCCTTTAACCTCGTTGTATTTCAATCATCCAAGCATGTTTATTAGGATCAAAATTACCCATTTTTCCCTTGGTTAATCCTAAATTTTGATTAAGGCACCAAGGTCTAAAATTACTGTTTTGCCCTTTAGGCACTTCACCTCATAACTCTTTAAACACAACTCAAATGAACTTGAGGGTTTAGAGTGTCATATCCATGAGGTGACTATAATGTTTAGAGGAGAATATGTGGACCTCTCATGATTTAATTTAATTTAATTATTTATTTAAATTTTAAAAAATAGGGATTTCAAAAGTTGATTTGTTTAACTTTTCAAAATGAAATTTTTATTTATGAGAAAATGATTAAAGGTTTTCTTAGGTCAGAGAAATACTTAGGCAAAATTTCATCACTTTTTGAATTAATTTATTATAATTATTTTAATGGAAAAATAAGGAAAACCCACTTTTAAGCCTTTAAAAATTATTTTTAATTCATGAAAAATTAGGAAAAATATTTTAATGAGTCCCAAGTGATCAAAGAAAAATTAGTTACATTTTGAAATAATTTGGTGTTTTTGGGATTTTTAATTATTTTAATTACTTTAAATTTAAAATAAGGCTAAAAAATCAATTATTTTACCAAAAATCACTTTTATTTTTCCAAAGTGCCCCTGATCACAAGAAACTCAGAAAACCACTTTTCAAAATTTTCCCAAGTGTATTTAATTTATTATAATTATTTTTATACAAAAATGTAAGGTTTCTTACAAAAATCAACTTTAGTGCTTAATTTTCAAATTTTCCCAAGTGTATTTAATTTATTATAATTAAACTAAGTCAAATAATTTTCAAATTTTTACAATGTTTAAATATTTTTTTTATGAACAGTGTGGGATTGATTTTGAAAATTTTTAATAAGTATATAATTTACAAAAATTAACACAATATATTCTCATTTAATTAAATATAGAAGTTCACAAGGTAAATCAAAACATCATAATATTTTTCCTAGACTTCTCTAACCACAGGAAACCTACTAAAATTATTCTCATAATTTTTCAAGTGATATTTTGATTTATATAATTAAAATAAACCAAAATGGTCACTTTAGCTTGAAAATTAGGGCTAGAAGCATAGAGATGCCCTATGACTTTGGAAAAATCAGAGAACATCGCCTCTATGATGGGAAATAAACCCTCAAAAATTCAAGCCATGGTGAAACATTTTAAGCCATGGAGAATTAAAACACCAGAAGATATTTAATTCATTAAAAATAATATATTTAAAAAATAATTTTCATTTTTAGTCCACATTTCTCCTCTATCCACTGGGCAAGTTGGTATTTTTCTTTTATTTTTATGATTTTTTTTATAGAAAAATATGGATTTTAAAAGTTTAGGCATTTAAAATAATTAAAAAATCCCTATTTTTCTACTTATCCACGCGGCGCTAACTGGATCCTATGACGGCTCCGAAGGCTCCGAACTCACACGCGACGCTCCGCTATTCAATGCCGCCATCCACCTCAACTACCACGCTGCCCGCGGTTCACGCACCATCAGCTCGTCCGGCTTGATCTCCTCTGTTGGTTGGATACACGGGCGATCGGACGGCTCTCCGTTGTCGTCCCCAAGGACACTTAGGTAATTTGGGTGGATTTAGGAGCAAACGGCCAAGTTGGACATTTTGGTACAATTGGGATGCCCACCACCCTATATGAGTCATGGACAACTGAAATCCCCATTTGGGTCCTCTATGTACTGGTCTTAGCTAAACCCTAGCCTAGGGTTAATGAGTTTAGGGGACCATCTATATGAGTCTTCCAAAGGATCAAGGGATCAAATTCTACAATTTTAGTTTAGGGTTGTGAGTGGATATAGGTGATAGTGAGTGCAGGTGAGTGAACTAGCTCCAGACCAACACCTAGGGTCAACCCTAAGGCCAGATAAACCTATGGGAACTCTCCTTGAGCTCCCTTATAGTGACCTCACCTACTAAGTGCTAGAGGTTAGGACCGATATGTGTAGTTTCAAGTCGAGCGAGGAAGAGTTTAGAATTTCTAATGGTGAGGGTTCCTTTCTAGTTTTCTAGGAATACACAATAGGAAAGTCCTATAGCTAAACCCTAGACTACTAAAGAGGGAGAACTAAACCTCAACCAAAGGTGAGGTCAACAGTAGGGTCCACGGGGGGCAACAGTCCCCCTCGAAACTCAGAGTTTTAATTATGATGGGAGAGCAATTTTGTCTTTTGCCCCTCTTGAAATACAAAATTTTTTCATCCTAAAATATCATTTTGCCTTTCATTTACTTAGCTCCTCCCACGTTGGGTTGGGGGG